ATTCTCAGGCATTAGATCAGGGAGGAATGTGGGATGATACCCGTAATTGGAGAAGAACGGGGATTGACCCGTAGCTGAGTGACTCGAGTTGTTGTATGAGAATTCTGCGGAAGGCAACAAGGACAGCCAGTCATCCTGAAGGTAGGATGTGTGTAGCACCGTAAATACTGTTCCAGCGTCTGGTTGGTCCTCTCAGTTTGGCCGTTGGTCTCTGGATGGTAGGCGGATGAAAGCAACAGCTTGATTCCCAGCGATTTACATAAGGCGTTCCAGAACCTGGAGGTGAATTGGACCCCTCGATCTGACACTATATCTTCAGGAACCCCATGAAGCCTCACCACTTCCTTGATGAAGATCCGTGCCGTTTCCGGTGCCGATGGGGTCTTCTCCAGGGGCACGAAATGTGCCATCTTTGAGAAGCGGTCGACGATCACCATTATTGCAGTGTAGCCTTGGGATGGTGGGAGTTCGACCACGAAATCCATGGCTATCATTTGCCAGGCCGTTTGGGTATGGGTCATGGACGTAACAATCCCCATGCCCTGCTCCTGGAGGGCTTGTTTCTTTGACAGGTGGGACAAGTCCGGATGTAACGCTCACAATCCTTGATCATGTCCGGCCACCAGAACGAGCGCCGTAGTAGTTCCAGAGTTTTCGTTACCCCCGAAGTGGCCCGCCATTGGATGGTCGTGGCAGTGCCCTAGGACCAAGGTTCGCACTTCTTCTGGGACCATGATCCGGTCTTCCTTCCAAAATAGCCCTGGAGGGGTGACCCAGTCGGAGCTGGTAGTCCTACAGAAGCATCGAGAAGCCGGGAGCGAAGTTCCGTTTGTAGCGCGAGGAAGCTTCCAGAAGGTAAGATGGTGTCAGGTACCACGACGTTGTCGGGGTCCTCAAACATGCGGGACAAAGTGTCTGGTTTGGTATTCTTAGTGCCGGGTTGGTACGTTATATGGAATGAGAATGGAGAAAAGAAAAGAGCCCATCTCGCTTGGCGAGGTCTCAGTCGTTTTGCCGTTCTTAAATACTCAAGGTTTTTGTGATCTGTGAATATTAGGATTGGGTGCGTGGCTCCTTCCAGTAAGTACCTCCATTCTTCTAGAGCGGTTTTTAATGGCCAGGAGCTCCCGATCTCCAATGTCATAGTTACGTTCCGCCGGTGTCAACTTCCTGGAGAAGAACGCCACAGGATGCAGTAGTTCCTTGGTACCATTCCTTTGGGACAAAACCGCTCCCACCGCGTTTTCGGAGGCGTCCACTTCCAAAACATATGGGAGAGAAGAATCTGGATGGCAGAGAATGGGAGCAGAGGTGAACAAATCTTTTGAGCTTTTCGAATGCCGTCTGAGCTTCGGGAGTCCACTTAAAGCGAACCCCTTGTTTCGTCAGTTGCGTGATCGGGGAGACCAGACCGGAGAAGTTCCTAACAAACTTTCTGTAAAAGTTAGAAAAACCGATGAAACGCTGTACCCCCTTTTTGTCGGCGGGTATTGGCCAATCTAAGATCGCCGTGACTTTCTGGGGATCCATCGCGACCCCCGCAGAAGAGGGAACCAGTCCCAAGAACGTGATTTCGTGCTGTTCGAAACAGCACTTTTCTGCCTTTGCGTATAGCCCGTGTTGACGCAACCGTTCTAATACCTGTAACACGTGACCTCAATGAACCTCCAGTGAGGGGGAAAAAATTAGGATGTCATCCAAATAAACCACCACGAAAATATCGAGAAAAATCACGAAAAACATCGTTGATAAAGTGCTGAAAGGTCACCGGAGCATTACAGAGCCCGAACGGCATCACCAAATATTCATAGTGACCGAATCTCGTACGGAACGCCGTCTTCCACTCATCCCCCTCCCTGATACGGACAAGGTTATAGGCCCCCCGCAGGTCTAATTTAGTAAATATCGTTGCCGATCTCAGTCTCTGGAGGAGCTCAGGGACTAGGGGTAAGGGATAGCGATTCTTTACCGTTATCTTGTTCAGATCACGGTAGTCTATGCAGGGCCGTAACGATTTGTCCTTCTTCTCTACGAAGAACAACCCGGTCCCGGCTGGGGATGTGGATGGACGAATGAATCCCTTCTGAAGGTTTTCGTCAATATATTCCCTCAGCACTCCCGATTCCGTTTCGGACAAGGGAAAGATACGGCCGAATGAGATTTCAGATCCGGGTAGGAGGTCTATGGGGCAATCGTAGGAACGGTGCGGAGGAAGAATGTCAGCTCCTCGCTTACTGAAGACGTCTAAGAAGTCATGGTAGGCCGGAGGAATAACCTGGGATAGATTGGTGTCGCCATCCAAGCACAGGAGGAACCGGGGAACCACGGATCTTGTGACGTGGCAGTGACTCACACAATAAGGTGAATGAAATTGAACTGTTCCCTTTTCCCAGTCAATCTGGGGGTTATGGGCCCTCAGCCAAGGGAGCCCCAGAATGACTGGAAAAAAGGGGGATGAAATGGCATCCAAACGGAGGAACTCCTGGTGATGGTCTGCCATTGTGGTGAAAATGGGTGGTGTCTCCTGGTCCACCACCCCTGATTTTATACGGGACCCATCTGCCAAGAAGATGTTGAACCCCCTTTCTTTGGTCTGGAGAGGGATCTTTTGCCGGTGGGCAAAAGTCAGATCGATGAAGCAACTACAGGCTCCTGAGTCAACGATTGCGGTCACCGACAATGTTGTAAAGACACAGGAATGGCCAGGTAACTCGACTGATCATCCCTTCCTGCAGGTAAAGTAAAAGAAACGGGCGTGGACTTACTCATTTTTGCAGGACAGGAGCGCACTTGGTGACCAGCTTCCCCGCAGTACAGACATAGGTTCTGTGATCGTCTCCTCTGACGTTCCTCGACCGATAAGTGGGAACGGGCCAGTCCCAGTTGCATGGGTTCCGGGTTGTCCCCTGTTTCCGTGCTTCACGGATGGTTCCCTGGGGCTGGAGCTGTATCTCTCGATGGAATCCATGCCACCTTTTGACCCTGGCTGCTCCTTTCAAGCCGACGTTCCCTTAGTCTACGGTCAATTTGAATGGCCAACTCAATCAGTTTTTCCAGGGAGTCAGGTAGGCCTACTCGTGCTAGTTCGTCTTTGAGAGACTCAGACAGCCCGATGCGGAACTGGTGACATAACGCCGCATCGTTCCATCTGGTGTCTCCCATGCAACACCTAAAATCGGACGCGTACTCTTCGGCTGTCCGGCGGCCCTGCCGCAGAGAGTATAGGGTAGCCTCTGCGGAAGCAGCCCGCTGAGGGTCGTCGTCATACAAAACGGCCATAGCCTGAAAGAACTCGGTCACGGAGTCAAGATGGGGGTCGTGCTTCTCCATCAGACGGTGAGCCCAATCCTGGGGCTCATCCTGTAGGAGAGAGACTATAAACCCCACCTTGACGGTCTCGTGGTGAACGTGCGGGGCTGTAAGTCGAAGTACAGGGTGCAAGCGTTCCGGAAGGCTCGGAAGCGGCTCCGGTCACCACGGAATCGTTCCGGCAGGGGAACGCGGGGTTCAGGAGCTAGGGGTGTGGCAACCGCTCCGGATACCGGGGTAGCGGGAGGCTCTGCAGATGGAGGACTCTGAGCAGGGGGAGTCAAGGGGGCTAATGACTCCATGCGGTCCTCCAGTCGGGCGCAGCAACTGTGGAAATTCTGGAAGGCCTGGGTCAAAGTTGCCAGGTGCTGGCAAATATCCTCTAGGGACGCCGGTCCACTTCCTGGCTCTGTCATGGCCGCAAGGTACTGTTATGATCCACCAGGTGGAACTCCACCAGAGAAGGTGTTCGTGATCCAGCCAGATGACCCAATCCAGGCTGATGACCCGGTGTTCGTGATCCAGCCTGATGGCCCGATCCAGCCTGATGACCCGATCCAGCCTGATGACCCGGTGTTCGTGATCCGGCCTGATGACCCGATCCAGCCTGATGATCCTACCCAGCCAGATGATCCTATCCAGGGTGATGGCCTGATGGCCCGCTACCCAGCCTGATGGCCCGCAACCCAGCCTGATGGCCCGATCCAGCCTGATGACCGGATCCAGCCTGATGACTCGGTGTTCGTGATCCAGCCTGATGACCCGATACAGCCTGATGACCCAATCCAGCCTGATGACCGGATCCAGCCTGATGACCCGGTGTTTGTGATCCAGCCCGATGACCCGATCCAGCATGATGACCCGGTGTTTGTGATCCAGCCTGATGACCTGATCCAGCCTGATGATCCTACCCAGCCTGATGATCCTATCCAGCGTGATGACCTGGTGCCCGCTACCCAGCCTGATGATCCTATCCAGCGTGATGACCTGGTGCCCGCTACCCAGCTTGATGGCCTGCTACCCAGCCTGATGGCCCGATCCAGCCTGATGACCCGATCCCAGCCTGATGACCCGGTGTTCGTGATGCAGCCTGATGACCCGATCCAGCCTGATGACCCGATTCAGCCTGATGACCTGGTGTTTGTGATCCAGCCTGATGACCCGTCCAGCCTGATGATCATACCCAGGCTGATGATCCTATCCAGCGTGATGACCTGGTGCCCGCTACCCGGCCTTATGGCCCGATCCGGCCTGATGGCCCGATCCGGCCTGATGACCCGATCCGGCCTGATGACCCAATTCAGCCTGATGACCCGGTGTTCTTGATCCAGCCTGATGACCCGATCCAGCCTGATGACCCGATCCAGCCTGATGACCCAGTCCTGCCTGGTGCCTCGGTGCCCGTGGTCCGGCCTGGTGCCTCGGTGCCCGTGGTCCGGCCTGGTGCCTCGGTGCCCCACTGTTCTACCAGATGACTTGGTGCCCACTGTCCAGCTTGGTGACTCGGTGCCCGCTGTCAAGCTTGGTGACTCGGTGCCCGCTGTCGTGCCAGATGACTCGGTGCCCTCTGTCGTGCCAGATGACTCGGTGCCCACTGTCGAGCTTGGTGACTCGGTGCCCACTGTCGTGCCAGGTGACTCGGTGCCCGCTGTCGTGCCAGGTGACTCGGTGCCCGCTGTCAAGCTTGGTGACTCGGTGCCCGCTGTCGTGCCAGATGACTCGGTGCCCGCTGTCGTGCCAGATGACTCTGTGCCCGCTGTCAAGCTTGGTGACTCGGTGCCCGCTGTCGTGCCAGATGACTCGGTGCCCGCTGTCGTGCCAGGTGACTCGGTGCCTGCTGTCGAGCTTGGTGACCCGGTGCCCACTGTTCTGCCCGATGACTCGGTGCCCGCTGCCTCGGATGATGGCCCGGTGCCCTCTGCTCTGCCTGATGTGCCTCTGCCCACTGCCCAGTCTGATGTGCCTCTGCCCAGCCTGATGTGCCTCTGCCCGCTGCCCAGCCTGATGTGCCTCTGCCCGCTGCCCAGCCTGATGTGCCTCCGTCCGCTACCCAGCCTGATGTGCCTCCGTCCACTGCCCAGCCTGATGTGCCTCTGCCCGCTGCCCAGTCTGATGTGCCAGCCCCTGATATCCAGCCAGTTACCTAACCCAGGCGGTGGAACATTTTGCCCAGCCATTCTGCTGACATACTGCATCCCAGAGCAGAGAGCATGGATGGGTCGGAGTTAATTGTAAGGTTTCAATCTCGGTCCATTTGTTAGGGGGGCGTCGGGTAGACCAGGAGATTAGGGATCGAAGATGAGTGGCATAGTAGTAGGTCACAATATCCGGTGCTCCTAAGCCTCCCCTAGAGCGCAAAGAAAGAAGTACAGTGCGTGCAATTCTATGTTGTTTGTTATGCCAAATAAAACGTAAGAGAGATTTTTGAATGGAGTGCAGCTTGGACATAGGGATGGGGATGGGAAGAAGAGTTGGAAATAGATACAAACGTTTGGGCAGTATGGTCATTTTTATAACATTAATACGGCCAAGAAAGGAAATGGGTAAGGTGTCCCAAACTTTTAGGGAACGGGAAATGGCAACAAATAGAGGGGGAAAGTTAGCCTCATATATGGAATGGTAGGAAGAAGTAAGGTTGGTACCCAAATAGAGAATTAGGAAAGAAAAGGTTCAGAGTCAGAGAGGTGTGATCGGACCATGTAATAGAATTTATTTCAGATGAAACTAAAAGAGGGAGTAAAGGGGCAGAGATGAAGAAGTGGTCCAAGTGGGAGAAACTGCGATGTGGGGGGTGGAATAGAAACTAAACTGTTTATGAAGGAGATGTTTGAACCGCCAAGTATCAAAGACGATGTTCCCTTATCAATTTGCAAAAAGATTTTGAAGAGGAACATTGCCGCTTCGAGGGGGTGAATTAAAAAAGTACCTTCCTATCCTTGTGGGGGGACATAATTAAATTAAAGTCACCTCCAATGATCATATGTGGTGCGGTAAAGGCATTCAATTTGGCAAGTGTTTGGTAGAGGAACTGTAGTTGACCCGTGTTCGGGGCATACAAGTTTAACAGGATAAGGGGAGAACCAGCAAACATACATTCCAAAATGATATAACGATCCCGTGGGTTGACCTTGGAGGAAATGACCCAAAGGGAGCAGTGTGTCAGGCTTAAAATAGCCACTCCGACCTTCCCAGTGGGATCGAAAGCCGAGTAGGATTAGGAAAAAAACCTTGACGAAAAGAGCCAGTCAATTTAAAATGAGTTTCCTGGATGAAAATAATGTCTGCTCCTGAGGATCGGAATTCCTTCAAAGCCATCCACCATTTTTGGATGGAGTTAAGACCTTTGGCATTGCATGATAATAACTAGAGATGAGCGAATTGTTCAAAAATTCGATTTGGCTGATTCTCCGAATTTGTGGAATAAATTTGATTCGAGTCGAATATATTCGCCGCGAATTTAACTTATAAAAAGGGTGTTTCTAGGCTTCAGAGAGCCTTTATATTAGTGCAGAACACTGTACCTTTAATTTAAATGCCCTTGGAGTCTGCTGGGGAAGAGAAATAATACTGTCAGTCAGTATGACATGCAGATGAGTGCCGTCGATCTTAGAATCACCGCACACTTCACTCATTTGGGCAGTCACGGGGCCAAAACCAGAGTGTGGAGCCACAGTGTGGCGGTGGAGGCAGCAGCAATGGGAGGCCATACAGCACCCTATGACAAAATGGAACCCACCAGCAGTGTGAGACCTGAAAGTGGCACATGGCAGAGTGTGGCGATGGAGACAGCAGCAATGGGAGGCCGTACAGGGACCCATGACACACTCTGGACCTGGCAGCAGCATGAGGAGGCGGTACAGGGGCCCATGACAGATTACGGGCCTGGCAGCAGCATGAGGAGTCGGTACGGGGGCCCATGGCAGATTACGGGCCTGGCAGCAGCATGAGGAGGCGGTACAGGGGCCCATGGCAGAGTGGCGGAGCGTAAGCAGCTAAAATTGAAGGCCATACAGAGGCCTATGTTAAAAAGTCCCCCCAGCAGCAGCGTGGGGAGACGACTGCCCCTGTACCGCCTCCTGTTGCTGCTGCCAGGTCCAGAGTGTGTCATGGGTCCCTGTACGGCCTCCCATTGCTGCTGACTTCATCGCCAGACTCTGCCATGTGCCACTTTCAGGTCTCCTTACACTGTTGGTGGGTTCCATTTTGTGATAGGGTGCTGTATGGCCTTCCATTGCTGCTGCCTCCACCGCCACCCTGCGCCATGTGCCTCTGTCGTCTGCTCACGCTGCTGACGGCTTCCGCTTTTTAACCGAGGCCTGTGTTTGGCTTCCGAATACTGCTGCATCCACCGCCACCCTGCGCCATGTGTCTCTGTCGTCTGCTCACGCTGGACGGCTTCCGCTTTTTAACCTAGGCCTGTGTATGGCTTCAGAATAATGCTGCCTACACCGCCACCCTGCGCCATGTGCCTCTGTCGTCTGCTCACGCTGCTGCCAGGTCCATACTGATTCATGGCCCCCTGTACCGGCTCCTCATGAACGTGGTTCAGTGGGTTTGCATCACTTAACGGCAAATCGTTGACAAACGCTGGGACGTTCAGTGTTGTGCGCATTAAGCCAGACACCAAAGGGCAGCACAGACCTGTTATTACTCGCTCAAGCATGGCTGAACAAAACCAGTCTCTACCACAATTTGGACCCAGACCTGCCCAGGGTCTCGTAAGTAGATTGCACAGAGGAGTAGAGTTCGTTATTGGAATTAACTGTGAGGGACTTTTAAACCTAGGCCTGTGTATGGCCTTCAATTGAAGCTGCTTCTGCTCCGCCACTCTGCCATTGGACTCTTGATAGTCGTCTCCCCACGCTGCTGCTGGGGGGGACTTTTTAACATAGGCCTCTGTATGGCCTTCAATTTTAGCTGCTTACGCTCCGCCACTCTGCCATGGGCCCCTGTACCGCCTCCTCATGCTGCTGCCAGGCCCGTAATCTGCCATGGGCCCCCGTACCGACTCCTCATGCTGCTGCCAGGCCCGTAATCTGTCATGGGCCCCTGTACCGCCTCCTCATGCTGCTGCCAGGTCCAGAGTGTGTCATGGGTCCCCATTGCTGCTGTCTCCATCGCCACACTCTGCCATGGCCCACTTTCAGGTCTCCTCACACTGCTGGTGGGTTCCATTTTGTCATAGGGTGCTGTATGGCCTCCCATTGCTGCTGCCTCCACCGCCACACTGTGGCTCCACACTCTGGTTTTGGCCCTGTGACTGCCCAAATGAGTGAAGTGTGCAGTGATTCTAAGATCGACGGCACTCATCTGCATGTCATACTGACTGACAGTATTATTTCTCTTCCCCAGCAGACTCCAAGGGCATTTAAATTAAAGGTACAGTGTTCTGCACTAATATAAAGGCTCTCTGAAGCCTAGAAACACCCTTTTTATAAGTTAAATTTGCAGCGAATATATTCGGCTCAAAGCGAATTTATTCCGCAAATTCGGCGAATCAGCCGAACCAAATTTTTGAATAATTCGCTCATCTCTAATCATATATTATGATTTTGATTAATTTGTAATATATTCTAATTTATTTTTAATTTATTTACAAGTCACAGTAATTAATTTGATATAATATTATTTATGTATCAACTTAAGCACCTTTTAGTGTATTTATAAGTGTGAGATCATTTATAACTAAGGATTTTGCAAATAGGAGCGCGGCACTATAAATTAATTTATACAATTGAACAATAGGAACACAATTAAGTGGGGTTGTGTAAGTGCCAGCGAACCTTGCACACCATACAATAGATAATTACTAATAGCTTACTGAATACCTCATTCATAATAGCTCACAAGTATTCACTTTTTATACTACAATTTTTATGGCACATAGTACTCGCGCAGCGATTTTTCAAAAGCAATTTAAAAAAAAAAATACACTTAAACACAATATATATTGGCCAATTGTTTGGTAAAATATAAAAGATAATGGTATGCTGAGTAAATAGATACCAAACATGACATGCTTTAAAACTGCGCATGCCCCGTTCAATGGCAACAAACTGCAAACATTTTTAATATCCATAGGCAGCTCTTTAAAAGCCTTTAAAAGCCACCATGTTAGATTTACAGAGGAGGTCTAGTGTTAGAATTACTGCCCTTGAGCTGATGTTCACGGCAATACCTCACATGCATGGTGCAACCGCTGTTTACATAACGGCACAGGTCAAGGCTTGTGCACACAGGTGTGCGCGCATGGGAGGGGCAATTTTTTTTATTTTTTTAAAGTAATTTTGATTTTTTTTAAATTATTTTTACATTGTTCCTTTCTTCTTTTTTTTTTTTTATCACTTTTAATGCTATAATAGGGAATGAAAATAACCCCTATAACTTCAATGGGCATTGTCATATATTCTTTTTTGAGAAATCTGGGGTCTATCAGACTCTGGATATCTCCTCTATCCTTACATTATCTAATCAAACCAAAATCGGTGTGATCAGATGCTTTCCCAATTTAAAAATGGCGATGTTTATATCCTGCGAAACTGAAGTGATGAAATGCTTGTAGCTTCTGAATTCTTGGACTATAGAGATGATTGGCACCATTCTGGTCTCCAATCAGCTCTATGGTCAGCTGGCAGAAACACCAGCTGCATTCTCAGGTTCCCCTGATGGCACGGGACTGCCCGAGAAGGCCGTGGAAGGCAGCAGGGGAGGGGGGACATCATCTTCCACTGCTTGTAAAAGCAATCTTGCAGCTAATTAGCCACTAGGATTGCTTTTACATGAAAGCCGATCACCGGCTGAAAAAAACAACACCAGGATGATGCCTGCAGCTGTAGGCATCATCCTGGTATAACCATTCAAATCCAGTAATGTACCAGTACATCGCTGGTCCTTGTTGAGTATATATGCTATGTTCTTTTTTTTTTGTATGCAGCCTGTGGACTGAATGAAAAAATGAGAAGAAATCTCTGCCAGAAAAAGTGTGTGGTATGCCCACCATTAGAATATACCGCCCTGCATCCACCCACTTCTAATGGTGGGCACACATTAGGTCACACTTTGCCACAAGTGCCGGTTCCAAAATTGAATAAATGTCTAAATAGTGGCACGCTTGAATAAAAATTGTGCACATATAAGTGGTACCCCATATGGAGAAATGATGACACCAAGTCCCAAACTATCTTGCCACACTACTCCCCATGTAGTCTGGGCATCCAGGGGCTCCATGTGACTATCTTCTCCCTCGCAAATCCAAAACTTATAAGTATAGCCTGTTGCCCTCTCACAAGTCTTCTACATCTTGACCCCATATCTGGCACGCTTGCTGGGGAGAAATTGTTTGAATGCAAGGCGGCCAGAAAAATTAATAAGGGACTCATCAACGCAGATGTTTTGCCGGGGAGTATAGACATCTGCAAATTTTAGGTTAAGGTGATTTGCGAGGGGCTGAATTTTGTGGAGCCGGTCAAATTCAGGGTTACCTCGAGGATGACAGAGTGTATTGTCGCTGAAATGCATAAAACACATTATACTCTCATATCTATGCCTGGCCATGGCAGCCGAGAACACGGCATATGATGAATCGTGTCTGCGGACCAATACAACCGCAATTCATTTCTTTTAGTAATGCCCATGTTGAGGGTTAGGCCCAAAAAAAATTTAAATTTGAAAACCGTAATGAGTTTCCATGCGACTGGTCTGGCAAAGTTTGAATTTGGGTTGGCGGCAATAAATTGTTGTGCATATAAACTGCTTTGATCCACAATCAACGCATACAGATATTCCGTGAAAAACAGCTCCAAAAATCAAGGAGGTATGTGAAAGACCAGGATGTACTAGACCGCTGGTAGTCGTCAGTTCACCAAAAGGTAGAGCGGCACTAGTACTGGCACTCTGCTGCATATGAGAGTCATCAAAATTTACCGGCAAGTGCTAACAGAGATCAGGCCTGATTCTGCGAACACTGCGGTTTTGTGTGCAATGTATCAAGTGACAGTGACCTACTGACACTGCACTTGCGGGGGGAGAAGGGGGGGTAAGCGTAGGGGCTAAACGCAGGTGTTGGCAGGTGCAGGGGCTGATCCCGCTAACGCTGTGTTTTTGGGGATGCTATACTAATGTGAACGCTGGTATAGTGCTGATCTGATCAAAGATATTGACCCGTTCAGACACTATACTAGCAATGGAGGTTTATTGTACATGAGCATGCTCCTGGCAATCAAGGGGTTAAATGTGATGACTGGTGTACTGACGGGCAATCTGACGCTATCTGGGAGGGGCGTGAAAACCACGGGAGCGTGAATCACGTATATATATATATATATATATATATATATATATATATATATATATATATGTGATTTTGCGTACCCATGCCACCCTGTAGCAGTATTTCTGCTGTAGGGTGGTCAGGAAGCGGTTACAGAAGAGGTTTGTGTTATGGTGCTGCGTTACTTTAACTGACAATAGCGCGGTCATGCAACACTGCACCCAAATTAAATTTACATCCTTTTTTCCCACAAATTGAGCTTTCTTTAGGTGGTATTTGATCGCCTGTGCGTTTTTAATTTTTTGCTCTATAAAAAAAAAGGCTGACAATTTTGAGAAAAAAAAACAATATTTTGGACTTTTTGCTATAAATCATGTCCAGTAAAAAAAATAAAAAAATCAAATTTTGTCACAAATTTCATCCAAAATGCATTCTGCTAAAAAAAATCCCAATACGTGTAAATTAATTGGTTTACATGAAAGTTATAGTGTTTACAAATGGCGGGAAAGATACTGGGATTTTTAATTTTTATTTATACTAATAATGGCGGCGATCAGCGACATATGGCGGCGATCAGCGACATATGGCGGCGATCAGCGACTTATGGCAGGACTGCGGGACTGCGGCGGACATTTTGACACTGGGGGGGAACTGACTTGGGGTCACCAATACAGTGATCAGGGAAAAAAATCCCACTGACACTGTACTAATGGCACTGGGGAGGAAGGGGTTAACATTTTTTTTCACTGAAAGGGTTAGGGGAGTGTTTTACTAGGGGGCGGGGGTGTGTGCTGGACGGGGGCAGGCTGATCGAGAGAGAGAAACTCTTCTCTCCCTCTTCAGCTTGTCACGAGCTGTCAGGGAACTGACAGATAGCAAGGCTGTGTGTAAACAATGCAGCCCTGCTCTCTGTCAGCAATCACCGCTAATCCCGGGGAAACGGACGGTAATCACCAGCTGTGACCCGGCGGCTGACACCCGCTGCTGACACCCGCGGGACAGGTAGGGCGGG